GTTCCGGGCACGGGTTTGCCCGCGCTCAAGCCCCGCGCAGCCAAGGGGCGGCGCAGGCCACGGTCCGGCTTTCCGCGCCAAATTTTTAAATCGAAGGCGGAAGGTCCGGCCCCGCCCCCGGCGCCACCAACCAATCGCAGGCCCACGGCCGGCTCTCTGATTGGTCGGAGATCGTTGCCCTGGAAACCACGAGGATGCTGTCCGGGAACTGTCGGGCGGGCGGCGGGCCGAATGGGCCTGGGGGAGGGGCCGTTGGCCGGGAGGAGGGGGAAGTGCACGGGCGCAGAGCGGGTGGCGGCAGGGGGACTGTACCTGGTTGCACTACTGGGCCAATGAAGCCTTCCATGGTGGAGTCCGACGCCGTGGCGTGAACCTGCCCCTTAACAGCGAATACCTACCGCGCTTTGCATCTTGAAGGAAGTCTTTAAAAAGTCCTAATCATAAGGAGCTCTTTAAATGTCTAGTAATACGCTTAGAGTTTAGAGACTGAATTTGGAATTTCATATCAAGCAATTCCTCCGGACTTTATTGCTGAGCCTGTGCACGTGTGTGTAAGGGGAGCGATTCAGGCATCTAGAGGCAGACTTGTGTCGGTCCAGATTCCTGAGTCCGTGCACTCAGTCCGGAGCCCTGAACTGTGAACAGGTGGGTGCTTGCTGCAGTCTTACTTGTGGGGTCCGCAGAACCACCCACCTTCTCTAAAGAGGGGAGAAGTTGTCATGGAAATTATGTGGGTCGTTTGAGGTCTCATGACAGTGAATCGGTTTGCTGTAGGAATTTACTGTCGTATGTTGAGTTCTTTGCCCATCGAGGCCGTCTCTGGTCGGGAATAAACGTAAATCTACTTTGTCACTTTTCTTCGTTAGGCTTTGTTGCTATGGCCTGTTGTGTTGGTGAAGGAATTTTCCGCAGAACTCCTGATTCTTATTTATCTCTGACTTTTCCTGTATTTCTTCTTTTTTTTTAAAGGCTGTTAAAACTTTTTAATAGAATTGATTGGACTACCTGAACCACTAGTATTTGGAGAGGAACTCCAGATATTTCATTTTTACAGAAACTAAATGTATGAGAAATTTACAGAATGGAGAACGAAAAGGTACTTTTTAACTTCAAAATTGTTACAGTTTAAAATGCAATATCCTAATTTAACACCATAATCTTTAATTATCCAGTCTTATTAATGTCGCATACCTTTTTGGATAGCTTGTGTAGAGACCAGATGGAAAGAAAATTTCATTTTTGAAGGGCTAACGTTATATTTTTAGGTTTTAATGATTTGGTGGAAATCTCAAAGAGCTAGAGAAAAGATATTTTAAGAACATTAAAATTTATTAGTGCCATCCTATTTATGAGTATTCTTGAACAACTGGAATTCAGAAAGTTCATTTCACATGATTTAAGATTAGATTTCCATTTAGGATCATTTCCTACCAAATTGTCAGCGTCTTTAATCATGGGGTCTGCAAAATGTGACTCAGGAGGCAAACATTTTGTAAAACTACAAAATTTTTCAGTTGGGCATGTCTTGATCGGCTTGCAACTAGAGATTGGTTTTAAAAAGTGAAAGTATATGCAAGTTTCCTGTGAGTTTTGGATGTTAGTCAGCCAAGAGAATTACTGTTGCTCCTGGGAGTCTGAGGCTAAGGGCAAGACCCCATTCTTGGATCCACACTTCTTGGGAGCACATGGTGTTAAGATCCTCCACTGGATCCATCAGACTGACTAAAATCCACCTAAGAGCACCACACTCTGAGTGAAAGGTCTGAGTTCTAGTCCTGGTGACCTCTCTAAGCCTGGATATGCTCTTCTGCAAAACAGAAATCCAGGATCCAGTGAAAATATGAATGAAAGGAACCAGCAGTTAGCGTAATGGCTATGTCGCTGGATTCCCACGTAGCCGACCATGGTTTGCGTCCTGGACCTGGTGGCTTAGAACTCACGCAGGGCGCGTGTGCGTGCATGCCCAAGAGGAGAATGGAGGAGAAGGGATTGCGGCGTGACCATCCCCCCTGGGGGGTAATTTCTTGCTTTCTGTCTCTATGTCTCTCTCTGTCTGTCTGGCGAGCGCACGCGCCCTATAGCGAAAACCTCTAAAAAATATATATTTAAAAAAAATATATGAATGGAAGAGCACTTGATAAAGGGGCCACATGTAAAATAGTCCCAATGCACCCATGTCCCTAGAGTTACTCACAAATGACTGGGTGTCTCAGTTCTTTCATTGACTGCCATCCAAGCATTTTCTTTAAAACAGAGAAGACAGGAAGAATCTGTGACATCTGGTGTCCCTAAGTGCAAGGAGCATGGTCTCCACTAGTTTTATTTAGGAGCTACTGTTCCTTCACCCTCTTTTGTCTTACTGGCAGTCCCACTTCTGCCAAGAACTAGCTTGGTGGCCTTGGGTGGCTCATTTGAGTTCTCTGGACCCCATTTTCTCTATCTGAAAAGTGAGGAAAGTGGATATTCAAAAGTCCTCTTCTTCGGTACTTTGGGTTTTCCTGGTCAGCCTGGCCTTATGCTAGCCCTCATCTCCTTGGCTCTCTGACTTACTCAGGGGTGTTTCGAGCACCCACTACATGCACCCACTACGCTAGGAAGATAATGGCTCCTACCCTGGAGGCCTTCGCTCACTACAGTGTCATGAGTAGAAGTCTCTTCCATGAGTTTGGGGCTCCCTTCAAATGGGGAAGCTATCCAGAGCCTACGTGGAAACTCTGTACTACCTTTGCAACTCTTCCGAAATCTAAAATTATTCCCAAATAGAGTTAAAAAATAAGTCCTAATTAAAGCTGTCATTTTCTTCCATTCTTGGAACATAAGATGCTTCGTTGAAAAAATTAAAATGGGAAATTTAACTATTACAGTGGACAGTGTCAGTGATCATTGGAATATCATTATTAACCACCTCTAACACTTCATTAGGCATTTTCTTCCCTTAGCAATAATAGTCTTATCACTGTATAATTTGTAGAGCCAAAAGCTTTTTAATAAATCTTGTTTTACAGTGAATTTATTGACTTTTTAAACCAGGAAAATCTCGTTTTCGAGCCACATAAGAGGGGACTGATGAAAACACCTCTCAAAGACTCCACTACAAACATAGTGTTGGCGGAGATCCCCCCGGAATTGGGCCCTTTAACCACGCCCACCAAACCCAAGGAAGTCTCCCAGGGTGAGCCGTGGACGCCGACAGCCAACCTGAAAATGCTCATCAGTGCTGTAAGCCCCGAGATCCGCAGCAGAGATCAGAAGAGGGGGTTGTTTGACAACAGAAGTGAATTACCAGAGGCCAAAGACGGTTTACACGTAGGTTTTCAGAGGCCTGGGTGGACGGGATTTGCTAGAAGGATGTGTAATCGCAGAAGCAGCCGCTATGGAAACATCGCCACCCACAGGATGGGATTAACTTCTTTGAGTTAATAACTAGAAAAGATTAGACCCTATCAACTATAGCAGTGAGAATTCTGACCCTTTGGGTTATTTTCCCTTCAGGCTTCCCTTTCTGGATTTGCCAAGCAGTTCACACTGGCTCCTATCTTTTCCCCTTCCCCTACAATCTTTGCAGCTGTTGAAGCTAAGGGGGTGTGTAAGTCAAGCTAGTCATTTGTGCACGTGCAATACATCTGGCAAACTTTATTCCAGAACGAGATGTTGTTTACCTTTTCCTCTGTAGGAACACTTATTCGGAGATGAATATGAGAAATCCCAACCCAGCCGAAAAGAAAAAAGTTTAGGATTGTTGTGTCATAAGTTCCTAGCACGATATCCTAAGTATCCCAACCCCGCCGTGAATAATGACATCTGTCTCGACGAAGTAGCAGAAGAACTCAGTAAGTATGCAAGGAGCTCACAGAAATGGTTGATCATTAGAGTGACCTGCGGGCCTACCTCCTTCAGGCCCACACACACACTTTGAGCCAGTGTTTGTAAATGAGAGAAAAGGACACATGGAAACTAGAAAACTCTAAGTTCTTAATTTAAGAATAAAGCTGAATAGTTTCTAGTTACTCTGAAAGCCAGAAAACCAGCTTCTGACTACTGGTGGTTCCTGAAGCTTTAAAGGAAAGTAACATTGTTGTATGATGCTCTTCACAAACAGCTACAACTCTGAACTTCCCCTTGGCCCTCTCCTTGAAGAGCCAGGCTGCTGAGTGGTTATTTTCATAGCTGATGCTGAGATCTATGAATGGGAGCAGGATTTCTGAGCTCCCTGCCACGCAGCACTGTTTGGACAACTGATGGATTTTCTGAGTCTTCTGTGCTTGGCAAAAGTTCCCGGGTTCCTCCCACACACTTTGACACTACTCTTCATAGACCTGAAACTAGTTACAGTTAAAAAACGGTTGTGTCCTAAATTGGGGGGTTCCTTTGGAGTCAGGAAAATATCTTAATCTATTAATAAAATGGTGAAGAAACGTACACTTGAATGATGAGGAAATAGAGGTTCCAACCAGTTAAGTAGCTCACCTCAGGGATCAGCCAGCCATACATTTTCAAATATAGTTATCACCCCATGAAGGAAAGTTTTGCACTTCTAATATATGCTTAGAAATAGCCACTTTATTTCGTATTTTAAGAATATATCATTTAGATCCACCTTCTCCTCATATACACCTAATTAGAACTGGGTAGGATGTATCCTTTAATTCAGCAGGTACTATGTACCAGGCAATGTCTTAGGAGCTTAGGCTTCCCTGCTCATCACTGAATAAAAAGGGCAAAATCCCTTCTATCATGGATCTTACTTTTTTTTTCTTTTTTTTTTTTTCTGAGAGGTTTTTGCTATAGGGTGCATGCACTCGCCAGAAAGACAGAGACAAGAGAGACAGAAAGTGAGAAATCACCCCCCCACACACACCAGGCGAGATGGCCACGCCACAATCCCTTCTCCATTCTCCTCTCAGGATCTTGGGTACGCATGCACATGCACCCGGCGTGAGTTTTAAGCCACCGGGTCTGGGACTCGAACTGCGGTCAACTACATGAGAGTCCAGTGATATAGCCATTACACCAACTGCTGGTCCCTGGATCTTAAATTTTAGAGAGGCAATAGAAAAAGGATATACTATACTAAGTACGTAATGCTAATGAAGTACTGTGGAAAACATAGAACAGGGTGAAGGGATCGGGAGTGCTGGACAGGCACTTTGCCGGAAAATGGTCACGTCAGGACTTAATGAGACACTGACACCTGAGCAGGGACTTGAAGGGATGAGTCAGGATGCTATTGAGGACAAGAGGTCTGAGCAGAAGCAAGAGCCCAACACAGAAGTCTTCAGACAAGGGCATTATCTGGCAGGTTCTAAGACCAGTGAGGTCAGTGGGATGCATCTCTAAAATAGCAGTTTGTTAAATACTTTTCCAGAAAGGCTGGATTTCATCCATTTTTCTTTTTCCTTTTCTTTTTGCTATAGGGTATGTATGCCTACCAGAGCGTGACGGGGGTAGGAGTGAGATCTCTCTCACACTCACACACACACACACACACTGCCACGGGGGGGCAGCCACGCCACAATCCCTTCTCCATTCTCTCAGGATTTGGGGCTCCTACGCACAAACAGCTGTCATGATTTTCAAACCACCAGTCCTGCACTCAAACCACAGTCAGCCATGTGGGATCCAGTCACATTAAGCCTCAGCATCGCCGGCTGGTCTACCAAAGTCAACATGGAAAGTAAATTTCTCAAAGAGAATTCTGATATTCCAAACTATGAAAACCTAATTTAAATAAATTGATGAGTCACAGAACGGTAGCTAGAAAGTAAAATTAGACCCCAAAGCGTATATAGGTATATTTTTATGTGAGTTTTTAAAAACTGCATCATGATTTTTGTACATGGCTGAAATTTCAGCACTTGGCACCTATCATATGATTGTGTGTGTGCATGCGTGTATGGGTGGAGTAAGACAAGAAAGGTATTGGAAAGTGGTGTTTAGAGAATTTTTAAGACTGTTTGGTCACTTACTGGTGCTAGAGAATACCTACCTCACAAGTACTGGGTAAAATTTTCTAAAGCAATATGGTACATAATAGGCCCTCAGTAAATGTTGCCTTTCTAATTCATACTAAGGGATTTGTCCCCTTTGAGAACAGGGACATGTCTTTGTCACCACACTGTTTGCTGAGTGTGTGTGCCTATGGTAAACTGACTTATCCAGAACCTCCTGACTAATAAACCATGGAAGAAAAGTTGCTCAGTTCTGAACTCGACAAACATCTGACCCTGGTAACATGCAGTTTCTTGTTCTTTGCAGATGTTGAGCGTCGACGAATTTACGACATTGTGAACGTCCTGGAGAGTTTACACATGGTGAGCCGCCTTGCCAAAAACAGGTATACCTGGCACGGCCGGCACAACCTCAACAAAACCCTTGGGACTCTGAAGACCGTTGGGGAGGAGAATAAGTATGCTGAGCAGATTATGATGATCAAAAAGAAGGAGTACGAGCAAGAGTTTGACTTTATTAAGAGTTACAGTATAGAGGATCACATCATCAAATCAAACGCTGGCCACAATGGACACCCAGACGTATGTTTTGTCGAACTCCCTGGAGTAGAATTTCGAGCAGGTGAGCGACAGCACTGAACAGCACAGGCTGCCTGGCACTTCCCATGGCTCTCCAAAAAAGGTCCTGTGGAGAAAGCTGCTCTTAAGCTACTGCTGCCTTTCATGTTAAAACGCCGCAGTTGTCAGCTGTATGATCAGGTGGTGGTATTTTTAGCCTTGTTACTTTAGAAGTCACTTGTCCCTTCATGAATTTTAATTCTCTAATCCTCGCCCTTTTCCAAAGCTTCTGTAAACAGCCGCAAAGACAAGTCTTTAAGAGTGATGAGCCAGAAATTTGTGATGCTGTTTTTGGTGTCAACGCCTCAGATAGTAAGCCTAGAAATTGCTGCCAAGATTTTAATTGGGGAGGACCATGTGGAAGACTTGGATAAAAGCAAGTTTAAAAGTAAGTGTCGTGACTGCCCTGGAATGTTGGACCTATTCCGAACAATGAAATCTACTATAAACTGATTTCCAATAGCATTGGGTATAAAAAGATTTCTAATTGTGCTTTTATATCTTCATCTCTCCCCGAAGCCATGATAATGCCGCTTTAGCTAACTTGCAGGATTCTCAGATATGTGGAACTACTGTTTGTCTGACACTTTGGCTTCATGTGAGACCATAACATTGTCCCCATTTACAAGAGTCGATGCGGTATTGTCTGAGGTCTAAATGAGCAGTAAATTGTGGGGAAGTGAGGCTGGACCCCAGGTCCCTGTTCTTCCCACGGTGCTGATACAGGAGGGCATAAATACCTCACGAAATGGTCACCTGAAATGTCCTGCAGCACAACGGGTCTACCGTTTTGAAACCATGGGTTTAGCTAGACTCCCTTCTCCAAGTTGGAAAGAGACTATAGCTTGGGTTCCTGACTCCGAGCTCTGCCCCCGTTATTATGCCAGACGTTGAAGGAACCTCCAACAAGGAGAAAGAGTGGAGAGAGGGTGTGAAGAGAAGTGCCGGACGGATCAGGAAGGTGCTTGCTGCACACCCATCTCTGCTGAGAGCCAGCCTGGACAGGGGTCACTTGTGAGACCCGGGGCTATGGAGAGGACCTGGGAACTGCCACACAGAGCCACCTTCCCATCCTAAAAGGTGACTTAGTCCTATGGAGGTATATACAGACATCCCCAGGTTGATAGTGTTATCTGTAAAGGCAGAATTAAGTACCAAGTTAAGAAAATAATGTGGGAAACTGGCTCGGGAGAGTTGCCAGCTCAGAGAACACCTTCTCATACTAGTGAAGGGTTGCTTGCTTTTTCTAGTCACTGGACAATTTCCAGCCCTGTTTCATCGTTAATGACAGCCTTTCAGACTATCCCTAGAGTTGCGGGTGTGTAATTTGCTGAATCATCAGGGAATTCAGAACTTTGGGGCATGGCTATGAAGGAAAACTCAGTTTGTAATTTGTACTCTCAAGATGGAAGTAAAAATACTTTTTGTAACAAAGCTTTTTAAGATATATGAGATTTGGGACCAGCAGTTAGCGTAATGGCTAAGTCGCTGGACTCCCACGTAGTCGACCGCAGTTCGCGTCCTGGACCTGGTGGCTTAAAACTCACACCAGGCGCGTGTGCGTGCGTGCCCAAGATCCCAAGAGGAGAATGGAGGAGAAGGGATTGCGGTGTGGCCATCCCCCCTGGGGGGTGATTTCTCGCTTTCTATCTCTCTGTCTGTCTCTGTCTGTCTGATGAGCACATGCGCCCTACAGCAAAAACCTCTCAAAAAAAAAAAAGATATGTGATTTGAAGAATGAACAAACCTATGCTTTGCATATTACATAAGGACAGTAGAAAAATTTACAAATTTTGGAGCTGGCTCCAGCCTAGCAGTTAAGAGAGCCAGATCCTATATGGGCGACTTTGCATGGTTCAAGTCCCCGACCCAGTGGCTTGAAAGAAACACACCAGCCGTGTGTGTGTGTGTGTGTGTGTGTGTGTGTGTGTGTGTTCCCCAAATCCCAACAAGATGGAGAAATGAGGTGAAGAGATTGCAGTAGGACCATTCCCCTACAAGGGGTCCTTTCTCCCTCTTCCTCTGGCGAGCACACACGCTTTCTGGCAACTTTTGGCTTTTTAATAATTTACAGATCTGAACAGCATACATAATTGTCTGTGCTTATGATATTAAATAAATCTTTTTTTTTTTAAGGTTTTTGCCATAGAGTGCATGAGCTTGCCAGAGAAAGAAAGAGACAGTGAGAAATCATCCCCCAGGGCGGTTGGCCATGCCACAATCCCTTCTCCATTCTCCAGGGATTTGGGGCATGTGCACATAGGCATCCCGTGTGATTTTCAAGCCACCAGATCTGGGACTTGAACTGTGGTCAGCTACATGGGCGTCTATCTGCTGGCCCGAAATAGGTCTTTTTGTCACAGTCAGAAAAGCAGTACAGGGAACCAGCAGTTAGCGTAATGGCTATGTCGCTGGACTCCCACGTAGTCGACTGCGGTTTGCATCCCGGACCCAGTGGCTTAAAACTCACGCCGGGCGTGTGTGCGTGCGTGCCCAAGATCCCGAGAGGAGAATGGAGGAGAAGGGATTGTGGCGTGACCATCCCCCCTGGGGGGTGATTTCTCGCTTTCTGTCTCTGTCTTTCTGGCAAGCGCATGCACCCTACAGCAAAAAAACCTCTCCAAAAAAAAAGCAGTACATTTATCACTGATAATTTGTTTGTTTATAAAATTCTTCTGAATCCTCATTATAACACCCAGGAATGGAAATGTTTTTTTTTTTTTAATAAAAGAATTTGGATCATTGTTCAAGATAGGGTGATCTCATCAAGTCATTTTTCCTTTTTCAACTGTGCTGTTGTCATTTCAAAATTCAATACCACAGTAACTGGATCTTTTAAATATTTAAAACTACTTTTTTGTGTTAATTAAAGCAGTATCGCTACAATAACTTAAAAGGAATCATGTTTTTCTATCTGACATTGATGGTTAGAAAGCTCTTAGAATAATACATGAACTCCTTATGAAGCAAAATCCTTTGATCTTTCATTATTCCCTTAAATAGTATATTTACGTTTTTTTCTAGCAAAAATTAGGAGGTTGTATGACATAGCTAATGTCCTGAGTAGTCTGGAACTTATCAAGAAAGTTCATGTTACAGAGGAAAGAGGCAGAAAACCAGCTTTCAAATGGACAGGCCCAGAAATCAGTCCAAATACCAGTGGTATGTATTTTTTAACTTTCATTCTTTACTTCATTATTTTGAATTAATGCATATTTGGACACACTCTCCCTTCCCGTTCCCACTGACACCCCGACATGGAAAGGACGTACAATAATGGTTGAAAAACTAAAATCAGAGCTGAGGCCCAGGATGGAAAGTTTGGCTACTTGCTCCATCAGCAACCCAAGATCTACAGCCACCTCTCACCCTATGTCTAGAAAGTAGAATCCGTAAGTGAAAGGATTGGAAAAGCTGAGAACACAACATTGCTGTTGTCATTGTATTGCACACTGACCACGACAGAATCTGTACTGAGTCTAGGAAACGGGTCCACTCTGGTGTCGGGGTAGATAGTTCACATCCTCATCTCCACTCTCCGATTCCGACACTGCATTTCCCAGTAATCCCTACCCAGAATCACTGGGAAGGGGGAAGAACATGGGCCACAGAGGCACAGAGACTTAGGTTCTAGTCCCAGCTCTGCCACTTATTAGCTGAGTTACTTCCCTGAGTCTCCATCTCCTCACCTGGGAAATGGGAAGAATAACATCCTTGTGGGGTCACTGGATTTGAGGTATAATCTCAGAGACAGCCTTTGGTACAGGAAGTCGGAGCGAAGGCTCTGGGGCCATGCTGACCAGGGTGATATCCCAGGACCATATGCTGCTAGCTGGGAGACCTGAGTCCTCTGGTTAACCAGCATCTCGAGGTGCCAGCCCTCTCATCTCTGCCATGGGGATGACGATCACCGTGTTTCAGCACATCTAAGACCCCACTGATTATAAAATGCATGATTTTTTTGTATGTCACTGAGAAATAAAAACCACCAACTACCCTCCCGCTCACTACATGTTTTAAGACACAGTGCCGTTTCAGAGATGTTGAAGTCTAAACTGTTATGTCTCAGCATTCAGTTAATAAGAGAAGCACAGTCATATATATTAATAGAAAGTGCTTATAGCAGTGTCTGTCACATAGTCAGTGCTCTATAGCTGTTGCCAATTTTATTCCTAAAGTTGTTTTAGAACTGCATTTTCAGCTCATACCCCAGAGACGCTGAGCCACTATGCCTTGACTCACCAGCCCATTCTGTTTCAGGCCCCAGCCCAGTCATTCCTTTCCTCCCCTCTGATTTGGAGCTGAGACGGTCTTCAAAAGAGAACTGTGCCAAAAACCTCTTTTCCCCACGTGGGAAACCAAACTTTACTCGACACCCATCTCTTATCAAGTTGGTGAAGAGTATAGAAAGTGATCGGAGAAAGATAAATTCTGCTCCCAGTAGCCCTATCAAGACAAACAAAGGTATGTTGACAAACAAATGTCAAGGCCCTCCAGGAAGAATCCCCTTTTATCTGATTGCTTTTAGCTTACTTGATCCCTGCAATACTTGTTACAAAATCCTGCCAGAACACATATACCCACACCCTCTGGAAGCCCAATCTGAGGATAAATTAAAGAATAAAAAGTCAGGACCAGCAGATGATGTAATGGTTATGTCACTGGACTCCCACATGGCCGAACACGGTTTGAATCCCTGACCCAGCAGCTTGAAACTCATGCTGGGTGCATGTGTGTGCATGCCTAAAATCCTGAGAAGAGAACTGAGAAGGAGTTGAGGCATGGCCATCCCCCCGGGGGGTGATTTCTCACTTTCTGTCTCTCTGTCTCCAGTGAGCACACACTCCCTACAGCAAAAAAATCTCTCTTAAAAAATAAAAAAGAATAAAAAGTCACCTGTGGGGTTTATCATTTAATTGCTTTTTTGTTAAATTGCTTCCACTTTGAGGGGAGATGATTTTTTCTTAATTCTGTTTCTTTGACTTCGGTGAGGTTTCATCTGTGTGAATATTTTTCAGCTTTGTCCACTCTTCCCCACCCTCTTTCTATTACCAGCTGAGAGTTCTCAGAATTCAGCATCCTTCCCCAGTAAAATGGCCCAGCTCGCTGCGATCTGCAAAATGCAGTTAGAAGAGCAGTCCAGGTAGGTCAGCCATGCTTTTTAGTGACTTATTCTCACATTCTATGTTAGGATTACTTATTTTATGTGAAGACAGGCACTAGCCTTGGAAACTGGAGCGTGAATCTTTCTATCTCATACTGAATTGTTTCAGAGATTATGTGCCAGTTTCATTAAAGCATGGCCTTACCACTTAAAGTGCTAGCACATTTCAGAGAAACGGCGTTTCCGTTGTGTCACGTTCTAAATCTTGTCTTTCAGTGGGCCCAGAAAGAAAGTGAAAGTACAGCTGGCAAGATCTGGGCACGGCAATCCGGCGGCCCCTCTGGAGACCCCAGCGAACGCTGAGCTGGAGCTGACAGCACCGTCCCTCATCCAGCCCCTGGGGGTGGTCCCCCTGATCCCCAGCCCACTGTCATCTGCGGTGCCCGTGATCCTACCTCCAGCCCCTTCTGGCCCATCCTACGCCATCTACTTGCAGCCCACCCAAGCCCAAGCCATGACGCCGCCCCAAGGCCTGAGCCCAACCATCTGCCCCACCCACTCTTGTAAAGCTACTGGATCAACAGACACCACAGATGCCACCACCGAGAAGGCACCCAATGGTGTCACCAAAGCCAGTGCCTCCGCCAAGCCTGGAAGCTTGCTGCCAGGACCTGAGAGACAAGGTGCCAAGAACCGTAACAGGGAACCGGCTGCAGAAAGAGGTTTGAAGAGGACAGGCTTGCTTGAGGACAATGGTTCCAAGAGGAAGTTTAAAGAGGACCTGAAAGGACTTGAAAACGTCTCCGCAGTAAGTATAGCCTTGAACCGTGTGAAGCTTTTGGAATTCCCTGCTTGGTTACCCAAAAATTTGGTGGCTTGTGAGATTTACCAGAGCAGAGAGCAGTCCTCAAATGATAAGGAACTGTCCCTTCGCATCCCGTAATCCAAATGAGGCCCACGCAGCTAATCCCTTGACCATGATGACGGCAGGGACATTTTTAACCTCTAGAGGGAGGGATTATTTGCTTCCTTTTTAAAGCACCATGGGTGGTTGTCCATAAGACCGTTTTTCCATCACATGCTGGAATGCGAACACCTGTCATGAAAGTCTTAAATAATTTACAAGCAGACGTAATCCCAGATGAATGGGTGGATGTGCGGGGTTCCTGTAGCTCCTGCTTTCTGAGTCATTACCTAATGTTTGTTTGATGTTGATGTCATCATGTAACTGGCATCTGCTGCCTGGAAGATTAAGTTCCCCCTGTTTTTATTTTCTACCTCAAATTTAAATCACAATTCTTTTTTTTTTTTTGAGAGGTTTTTGCTATAGGGTGCATGCACTCACCAGAAAGACAGAGAGATAGAAAGTGAGAAATCACCTCCCCCCTGCCATGGGGAATGGCCACGCCACAATCCCTTCCTCATTCTCCTCTCAAGATCTTGGGCACACACACGCACCCGGCGTGAATTTAAGCCACCGGGTCCAGGACTCGAACCATGGTCGACTACATGGGAGTCCAGTGACATAGCCATTACGCCAACTGCTGGTCCCCACAATTCTTATTTTGCATAAACAGAAAACTCAACCTGATCTTGGTAAATGTAGGTACATTTGATACATTGGTTTTCTAGAGATTTTGACATTCTAGATCACTTTTCCCTAGAGGCGGATTAGTTCAGGAAGGAATTCATATTTGCTGGGTGCCTACGACATACGGGACAACGTAGGTGTTAGGCACTTTTATATACATGATCTCATTTCCCTCCCTTAGGATAATTATATATGAAAGATGGTACCATCAAATAAATACCACTAAACAGAGAAACAGGAGTTAACCTCTCATTTTGCCCCAGCTGTTACGTTATTTTACTTCTCTAATGTCTTATTTTTTGCCATTTATAAAGAATTTATTCTAACAATTTTTTGCGAACATTTCCTGGGTAAAAATGCTGTGCTTTGAATCACAGCTCACTCAGTCCCCGCCTTTGGTGCCAGTAGTTTTGAGTATTTACCCTGTGGCCAGGTTAGTTTTTGTGGGGTTACGTGAATTTATGACATGATGATATATTCAATACATAAAAGGTTTTGATCCTTTTCAGACACAGTCTGAGCTGAAGGGTATTATCTGTTACTGTTATTACTGAGGAAGCTTTAGAGTTTGCCAAATCTTCCCCGAGGATGGCCTCATGGTAACCATTCAAAGCATCTATTATCTTACTTAGTATTCTTTTCCGTTTAATGTACATGCTAGGAGGTTAAAAATCACAAGGCTTTGGCTTGATTCAATTTTCTGGGAGGTCCATAATCTCTTTGGGCCGATGGGTATGATTTAATAATGTTCTCCTGTTACTCACTTATTTATTCAGGATTAAGGATCTTGGTGGATAGATTTTCCATCCCCTACTTTTTAAAAATCTCTCTGACTTCTTTTTGACCATTTCTTTTTAGCATGGTCTGAGCAAAACGAAGAAAATGAGAGAGTCATGTGTTAGTGAATTCAACACATTTACTGAAAATCTACACTTCGAAGGGTAGAGAGAAGAGACAGACATGAGGCCGTGAATGATAAAAATAATAGTGAAAATGAAACAGAAGGGCATGACAGGAAGAGGGGGAGATAAGACTACCATAAGCTAGACGAGGTGACATTCGAGTAGAAATATATCAAATTCATTCATTCTGCTAACAATCATTCTAACTTTTAAAAAGCAATTGGCATTATAGGTTAAAAGAGATTTGTTCTGAATGTGGTTTGTTGAAAATTGAAAAATAATTTTTATTACCCTACCATAGGCCTTACCGAAGACTGGAAAGTATTCCTCCTAAACCCACTCCTTAAAAACTGCTCTTCCCTGCATTTTTCAAGGTACCAACCAGGAAATGTTTTGAGCAACAAGCTAGTGATACACTTTCAGCCTTGTGGATTCTGAATTCACTTGTTCCCAAAGTAAAGACCTATTAACAGCTCGATCAAGGTCTAGACTGTTGTTTTGCCAATAGAAAGAAGGAAGATCTGAAGAAAGATAAAAGGACCTTCGTTTTTTAAGAGCTACTTTTGGCTTTTGCCAGTCCCACTCATCAGAAGACTAGTACAGACTTTGGGGCCAGCTAGGCAGACTTCTCTTGTTTGGTGAAGTTTGGTCTAACAGGCATGGTACATGTTAGACCAAGCTTAACACTCAACACTCAGGCCTTTTCTACTTGGGATATACTTATATTGCCTAAAGCATTTGCTCAGTGACATGCTGGGTCTCTAACTTGACTTATTTCATTTTCTTTTTTTATCTGTAATCTGTGAGTTCTGGTGTACTTTAGTTGGCACATTCTAAGACTGCTTGGTATTAGAGCACTGCGTACTAAGGAAAGTGCTAGAAGGAAATCTGTACTTGTGTAAGTCCCCTAAATCAGGGGTTGCAAACTCTATAGTGGTCCAGATAGCAAGTACTTTTGGCTCTTTGGGCTATATGGTCTCTGTTGTACCCACTCAGCTCTCCTTCTGTAGCAGGAAAGTAGCTATTAACTACATGTAAATGAACGGGTGTGGCTGTGTCCTCAAAAACGTTGTATACCTGAACAGGCAGGAGTTGGATTTGGCTTACTGGCATTAGTTTGGCCTCTCTTCTCTAAATCAACATTGCTTAAAATGTTTTCTTTGAAAACTAATCTCCTTCATATAGCCTCCCAAAACTTAGTCGCCGAATAGTGTGGGGAATGCTACGTGCTGTATGCCCCACTTGGATTTTTACGATGCACGTCTTCATTAAAGTCTTCCAGAAATTCTCTAATAGAGGCGCCCTTTGCCTTTGTTTAATTTAGCAGTTCTCACACATACTTGACTGTGAGTCAAGCAGTGCTTGTTTGTATCCCATGGAACAAGGGCCCCTGAGAATACTCTTTGGGAAGTACCATCCTGTGTAATTCGGGAACAATCAGATAATAATATGGTAGTACCATCTGTGATATTCACCTGCATGAAACTCGGTTCTGGCAATCAGCACCACTTCACACTACGATGCCTGATAGCAGGGGTTAGGGTGTCACCGTGAGGGTAGGTATGAATTATTTAGTTCTCTCTTTTTTTTTTTTTAAGAGGTTTTTGTAATAAGGCATGTGCACTCACCAGAGACAGAGACAGGGAGAGGGAAAGTGAGAAATCACTCCCTGGGAGGGTGGCCACACCATAGTCCCTTCTCCATTCTCCTCCTGGGATCTTGGGCACACACACACACACACACACACACACACACACAAACACAGTGTGATTTTCAAGCCACCAGGTCTAGGACTCGAACTATAGTCAGTTATGTGGGAGTCCAACACCTTAACTGCCACACCACCTGCTGACCTGAGAGGGCTGATAGCGGGGGTTAGGGTGGCCCGTTAGGGTTAGGTTTGATTTATTTAGTTCTTGTTTTTTTTTTTTTAAGAGGTTTTTGTAATAAGGCATGTGCACTCACCAGAGACAGAGACAGGGAGAGGGAAAGTGAGAAATCACTCCCTGGGAGGGTGGCCACACCATAGTCCCTTCTCCATTCTCCTCCTGGGATCTTGGGCACACACACACACACACACACACACACACACAAACCCAGTGTGATTTTCAAGCCACCAGGTCTAGGACTCAAACCACAGCTGGCCGTGTAGAACTCTAGCAACAAAACCACTATGCCATCTGCTGGCTCCTTAGTTCTCTTTTTTTATCAGTAATTTTTGAATTTTGGTATGCCCTGACATTGACAATGAGGCTACCCCTAAGCAGGCTCTGTGGCAGCATGAGGACATTTTCCTAAGACCACTCACTATTTAGCATTTAAGAAACATGTTCCAAATTACTCAGGAAGAGCAAGGAGTAGGAGGGAGGGTATAGTCCTCTGGGGACCTGCGGCTGGCCTGCCAGTAGCCCAGCACCGCTAGAGGTTTGGCCTACTGAGACAAAAAAATACCAAGGAATGTTCATCCTGGAAGAGGCACGTGGCCCTTTTTCTTCCTGTATTTGTATGTAAAATACATTCTTCTTCCTTGTTTTCTAGACCTTATTCCCATCAGGATACCTGATCCCTCTCACTCAGTGCTCCCTGGGAGCAGAGTCCATGTTGTCTAGTAAAGAAAACTCAGGTACACTTTCCCCAAACCACAGGATCTACAGCTCACCAATCGCAGGTGAGTATCCCTAAGACACCGTTCCCACGCCGGCCAGTCTCAAGTTCACTTACGCTTCGTGTACTTTCCGGACAAGTGTCTGTGCTTTTAAGATATCTTTCCCCTTTTCTTTCCAGGTGTTATTCCAGTGACATCATCCGAACTCACTGCTGTTAATTTTCCCTCTTTTCATGTAACACCTTTGAAGCTAATGGTCTCACCAACTTCCGTGGCAGCTGTACCTGTCGGGAACAGCCCGGCTCTCACTTCGAGCCATCCGGTTCCCGTCCAGAACCCAAGCTCAGCCATTGTGAACTTCACCCTGCAGCACCTGGGGCTCATCTCCCCCAGTGTGCAGGTGTCTGCCAGCCCCGGGCCTGGAACAATTCCCGTGTCTCCAAAAATAGAGGCTGTTAGTGTCATACCCGAAAACGTAGGCGCTCAGCAAGGAAGGGCCACCAGCTATGGCTCGCCGGTCCTGGGCCAGAACAAACTGAATGGACAATCAGCAGCTGTGACGGCAGCACAACAGGTGAGGGTATTCCATTTAATTTCATTTCTCTGAGTTACTGAGTTCTAAATACCTGTATCCTAGGAGACTTG